TTTTTTTTTTTTCTCTTTTAGGCTCTACAGCTTCTTCACTGTTTTCCTCTTGAAACACGATTAAAAGATGGCAGTGAGTATAAGTATTGAGAAGAAATTATAATGTTCCATACTGGATATAAACTGTATTTATTAAAAGTAATATTTTATGTTTTTACCAGGTTTGTTTTGGCAATCACCAAAAAGGCCACCTTCTCCAATAAAATTTGATTTAAATGAAACTTTGTAAGTATATATGTATATTTTCACTGTCAGTAGCTTAGCTGCACCATGTGGGTCTTCAGTGTTAAATGATTAAAACTTTTTTTTTTTTGGTTTTGGTTTTGGTTTTGGTTTTGGTTTTTTGAGACAGGATTTATCTGTGTAGCTTTGGAGCCTATCCTGGCACTGGCTCTGGAGACCAGGCTGGCCTCCAACTCACAGAGATCCGCCTGCCTCTGCCTCTGCTCTGCCTCCCGAATGTTGGGATTAAAGGCGTGCGCCACCAATGCCCAGCTGATTAAAACTCTTAACTCCAAAGTTAACAATTCATTCTAGTCAGCAGAGCCAGCTCCAACCTTCCTATATAAATATGCATCCATTTATTTACATGGTAAAAACTATTGTTTGAAATATCGACTCCATAAAAAACTAAGTCACCCCTACTTTTACCCATAAGGAAATAAAATGATAACAAACATTCTTAAACTAAATAAACCTAAGATACTTTACTTAAGGTGGAAAAAGCAGTTAATACTAGTTGCCTAAACTAATACAGGTGATGATTTAGCTTGTCTCTGTGTTTGCACTGTTTTGAGATTCGTACTTAATGTGAATTAATTCTCATCAGACACCTAGCTTATCTTCACTAACCTCTTTTCTACAGATAGCACTCTGCTTAATTTTCCTGGCTGTTGCATGCTTCAGAACTCGAGTTACATTATGATAAATTGCCTTTCCAATGCAACATTCCTACTTTTGTTTTAAGTTAATTATTTTGCTTTGTTCAAACCTAATGTATTCTCATTCATACCTGATATTTTCTCATGAATTCAAAGGCGTTTTCTCCAAGTATTCTAATAGTTTTACCTTTTTTTATTCACTTTTCATGATATTGCTAGTGACTACTTGAATATTATGAGTATTTTTGATAAGCATTTTTGTATCAAAAGAAAATTTGGTATTTTCTTCTATGTTGTTTTAGTCTAGACAAGAATTTCATTGTTGTAACTTTAAAAAGGGTAAAAATTAATTATGCAACAAAAATTCTTAAAATGTAATTCATAGTTTTAATCCAAAGGTTATGTTTCCTGCTGACTTAAATATCTTCTTTAAAACTGCCATTCAAACTGCTTTTTATTTTCATTTCAAAAGGCATCTCAGTTTTCTTCAGAGTGCTGCAAAACTATATGCTATGGTATATTGCATTCCATTTTCAGAAAAGGTAAGATTCTGTCCAGGCTCTAGCAGTTGATTCAAAACGATAGTTAAATTGGTTGGTGGCATTGAAGTGTGTTTTTAGCTCATAAGCCGTTCTTTCTTTTGTTTGTTTGTTTGAGATGTGAGCTCACACAGCTGATGCTTGTCCAGAGTTCACTGTGCATCTGGAACTCACTGTAAGCTCCACTTCTTCCTGCTTTCATCTCATAAGTACTCGGATTATAGGCATGCACCTTCATGCCCAGCTAGAATCATTCCTTTGGATCAAAAAGAACAGTGTTACATTTTTCTTGTGTTATTGTCCACTCTAACTTGCAAAAGCTGTTTACTTATTGCAGTGCTGGTTAATAGAAACTACTAATTTTCTTTCTGAATTTAAATATTGAAGTAATATTTGTGAAAAGCAGTCATACTTAAGTAATAAACTATTTGTAGTCTGCTTACCTATTTCTCTTTCTGGAAAGTTAAACACCACATAAAGGCCCAGGAATCAATAATAGTGTTCAGTCTTGTATTACAAGCCTGTCCTCAAAAAGCAGTGTTTTTCATAGTAGCTTCCATGTAGATGCAGGTTCATCCAGTTCCACTTGAACTATTATCATTTCTTGCTTCATAGTGTACGAATTTGATTAGTTTTTAAAAGTATAACATTACTCAGGAGAGGTCATCCTTTGACAGTGAGGATATGGGAATATGGACCCTTTTTTAAACCTGTAAGAAGAAAGAAAAATTTTAAGTTTGTTAACTAAAGTACATTTTCTCTCCAGCCTCCTTTCCCCCACTAGTCTTTAAGATAATTCTGGCAAAATGGAGGTAAATGTTTGAAATGGATATAAATATACAAGTGATACGTTGTTTAAGTTGCTAAATAGTGTGATAAAAGGACTGTAAGATAATTCTGGCAAAATGGAGGTAAATGTTTGAAATGGATATAAATACACAAGTGATACGTTGTTTAACTAAGTTGCTAAATAGTGTGATAAAAGGACTGTTTTTTTATAGTTTAACCTCAGATTCAGAGTTCAAAGACATGTGTTGATAAAATTAACTTTTTTTTTTTTTTTTTTTTTTTTTTTTTTTTAATAAAACAGGACTTATCAGTGGATACCCTCATGGATATTCTTTCAGAAGTTAAAATTCAGGAATTCAAACCTTCCAACAAGGTAAGATAGAAGTCCATTCACTTAGCTAGCTAGTGGTTATTAAACTGCTGCTTATAGCAAATCCCATTCTCAGCATGGAGAATCCCATAATGATTAGCCTTTGTCCTTAAGGACATTTTATTCCAAAGAGGAGATGGGCTACGTATAAACAGAAATGCACCTGGAGCCTGCTCCAGTAGACCTGCCACTTCGACTGCTGCTGACCAGACAGAAGCAGCTGTTTGCCTTAATCAGAGAAGCCTGTCCTTATAGTGAATGGTGGTGAATACAGGCATAGCGGAAAAGCTGTCAGTTATTGCAAGAACACAGGCAACAGATGTCTGGGGCCTTAGAAGTAGCTAATAGGACAGATGAGACCGAACTGGATTCCCTGTGTACATTGCTGTAGTCCTGACAGAACTTCTCGGGGAAATTGAAGGGAGCTGAGGAAAGATGGCTAGTGTCGTAAGTGGAATACGAAGTAACTAACAGTTGAGGATGAAGCTAGAAAGATGAAGATAGAGTGAGTATATGGTAATTGAGACCAGAGTAGAAAAGTCAGTTGGATGATGTAGGGCAGCACTGAGGATCCATATAACACCAGTGTGATATGTTCTATTATGGATTGCCATTATATTCAAGCACATTTAGCTTTGGTATCACTGTGGCACTTGTGTGTGCTGACAAATAATAGATGGAAAATTGGTTTGATAATTATGCCCAGAAAATATCTTAGAAAGTGTCAGAACCTGTGAAGTTGTCAGTAAAATAGGAAAATTTGAAGAAGTAGATGTATAAATGTTTATATGCATATATAAAGTATTTTTTACAGGCCTTTCTTTTATATACTTTAAAAATTAGCCACAAAGATGTGCTGTATACAGCTGTTTTACCTTTTTATTTTGTAGGAAGGCATCTTTGTAGCCAGTAGAATTTTGTGTAAGTGAGTAAGTTTTTCTAAGTAAAATATTCGTGACATGTAACCTATAACTAATAACATAGTATTTAATTAAAGAAAAAAGCAGTGTCATTTGTAAGAAAAGTTTCCAAGCCATCTTTCTCATTGGTAAAACTAGAGTAAACCCTAGTAAACATGATTCAGTATGTTTTCTGGCTTTCATTGCTTCTATCAGTACAACAGTTCAGGGCTAATAGGTTTCCCTGAGTAGTTTAAGGTTTTAATATGAGTTATGGTCTGTTTTACGACTCTTTAAAATAGCTCATACTGAAGCTTTAAGACCAGCATGCCCTTGTAGATATAGATGTGACAGCCAGAATATTAATTAGACATGATGGCAGGTAGAAGTTTCTGTTTTATTGATTCTTTAGTACGTCCTAAATGTTTGTGATGTTTAATATCTCAGAACACGATTTGGTGAATTTTTAAAGTAAGTAGTACTTTAATAATTAATGATGGAGACATTCTTTTGGTTTGAAAACATCTCCTGATTATGTGTACTGTCTATTAGGTAATTCCCAATCAGTTGTGGTTTATGCTGCATTAATGATGCTGTACTTAGTATATGAAGGAAGATGTATTCTTTATAAAAAGAACTACTCAGTAATCAGCAAGTATTTTTAGCCCCTATTACATATTTTGCAAATATTTTCTTTTTTGTCCTATATGAATCGGCTACTTTGAACTATACAATTTTAGTCAATGTAGACCTGTCAGAGTCAAAACTTGAATATCAACTTCATTTAAGTGTGGGATTTTAAGATATCTATATAATCTGGCCAGTATAAACAATATTCCAATAAGAAAAATAAATTGTTTGAGATATACTGGAGGCCTTTCAGTGACCAAGGTGAAGAGCCTGGTTATGGCATATACCTGCCAGCATATGAAGATAGGTAGTAAACTATAGTATGAGGGAAGAGATATATTAAGCCATAATGATTAATGAACAAAAGGCATTGACCAAATATTTTCTCTTATCATTTGATTAAATAGATAAACAATAGTTAAACCTGGATGTAAAATGTGATAATAGTAATAAACCTATATACATATATGTTTAAAGGTTGTTCAAACAGATGAAACTGCAAGGAAACCAGACAATGTTCCTATCTCCAGTGAAGATGAGAGGAATGCTGTTTTCCTACTAGAAAAGGCTATTTCATCTAACAGAGCTACCAAAAGTAAGGCAATCCTTTTCAAATACCTTGAAGTAGATGATAGACTTACTTCCTCAGAGAGCCATATTGACAAGGGGACTAATTCTTTTTTTTTTTTTTTTTTTTTTTTTTTTTTTTTTTTTTTTTTTTTTTTTTAATACATAGCCTTTATTTCTTCCAGATCAGGAATTTTTTAGGGTTTAATCATATAAAGATGAAGAATCAAGTTTAGCAACCTAAAATACTTACTTATTAAAACTATATTAATACTTTAGTAAACTATACAAAAAAGGTAAGGAGATAAACATGTACATTTATAGAACTGCATGTCAGTCATGCCAGATCCTGTAGAGGGAATTCCCAACATGACCTCATTCATCTGTGAGGACACAGAACAGTCCTCGTTTAGACATACACCATCTTGTCCTATGTGAGCTGCTCTTCACGTCTTGATGGCTTCCTTCTACACATGTGTATGTTTAGTTGTTTCTGCTTCTTAGAGCAGACATTTACCTTCCTCATCCACCAGCCATTGGAGGACTGCTGGGGCCTTAAAGATGACTGATTCAACCCATTCTTCGTGGAGGATTTCCTGGTGGCCCTCTTCCATCATCGTATCTGGAATTAGATGAGCTTCCATAGCCTCTTCTTTTTTTCACATCTTGCTGAAGCAGAGTTTTGAAAAAAAAAAAAAAAAAAAAAAACATAAATTCTGCTATTCCCCAGAAAAAATCTGTTATAAAAGACAATCTCCATGGGGACTGATTTCGACTGTCCAACACTTGTCCATTCGAGATGTAAACCATCATTCCTCCGCTTGCCCGCTTAATAAAAGACTTGACAAGGGTACTAATTCTTAGTCATCATAGCTGATGGGAGTGGGATGGGGATAAGGTGAGAGGAGAGGGAGAAGTAACTGGAGTTGCAATGTAAAATAAAAGTTCCTTAATGGTGGGAAAAAAATTTCTGTCCTTTAACAATGACTAAAGTCATCATTTTTTTCCTCATGTATTTGCCTTCAAGTTTTAAAAACTAATTCTCCAAATTACATTAACTGCTGTATTGTAATTCTTACTGTTTTTATGCTTCAGATGTTGAACAGTTCTAAAAACACAAGCAAATAGCTTGTTTTTAAGGAGCAGAAGGTTCAGATTAGCTGGACTTACTGGATCAGCAGGATCAGGGAGTCACAGTTATCTTAAGCTACATAGTGAGACCCTATCTCAAAATAAAAAAATAAGCTTAGTAACCTATTCATACCTTTAAACATACCACTTTAGGGGAAAGAATTACCAAAAGTCTCAGAGAGAGGGTGAGTATGTGTATGTTAGAGAGTGTGTATGTGAGAGAGAAAGAGTGTGGGTGAGGGAGTGTCGGGGGTGGGGTGGGGGGGAGTATAGATGAGCGTATGGACATGTGCATGCCATGGCACACACACGGAGGTCAGAGGATAAACTTGGGTGCTGGTCCTCCCTTTGCTGGTTCTCCTGATGCTTGCACCAGGCTAGTTGACCTACAAGCTTCAAGGGCTACTCCTGTGTCTGCCTTCTCTCTCTGTAGAGGCACTGGGATTACAGATTTTCACATTTGTGTAGATTCTGGAACCTCAAATTAGGTCCTCATGCTGTGTATCAAGCTCTTTACTTACTCTTAGCTTTCTCAGGTTTTACCAGGAATAAAATCTGACTTTACAAACAACTTTGCTACAGCTGAACTTTTAATTCTTTAAAAGCAGCTAGTCGTTCATCTGCTTAGGCATGCCTACCATCTTTTGTTAGATAAATCAGTAATTCTCAAAGTTCTGTGATTTCATGTGTGAACCAGTAAAATTTCATTATATGTCATGTTAATAGTCTTGAAAGTGATATTGGAAATCACTAATCTGAAATATTCAAAGAGATGCACAAATGATTTTGTTAGTTGTCAGAGAGAAAATGTTTCAAAGTAATATTTATGGGTTAAATTTTGAGTAGTATCAAAGATTTACTTTTATAATCCACATGGCAGCAGCTAATGTCACAAATGGCTTTTCTTATTTCACTATTTACTGTTTTTTATACACTAACTTCTTTAGTTTGGTGGTCCTAATGCCATTGTTTTCATGTTCTTTTATAACTTCAGTTGCTTATTTCTTTATACATTTTCATTTTGTTCATAACAAAAATGGTTATGATTAATATTTTTGTTAACTAAGCAATGCTTTCAGTGGGTCCTTCAGCTTTGTTACTTGTATATTTCTTTATTAGAAATCTGGTTATTTGAAAATTTTATACGTGTACATTTTTACCTTGCTTTTTATCTCATAAAACCTTTACCATAACTAGCATGCGCTCTTCTGATTACTCTGGTCAGGTGACCTTCAGATGGCAGTGCTTTCATTTGAAAAAGATGATGACAATAATGGACACATAGATTTCATCACAGCTGCATCCAACCTTCGAGCCAAAATGTATAGCATTGAACCAGCTGACCGGTTTAAAACTAAGCGCATAGCTGGTAAAATTATCCCTGCTATAGCAACATCTACTGCTGCAGTTTCTGGCTTGGTAAGTTTATTCTTCTAAAAAGTCTCAGATCTTCCCAACATCACACCAACTTTAGCTGGCCAAGCAGAATTTAGAGATGAAGGGATTAAAAAAAAAAATGGATCTTATAATTTAAACTTTCAAGATATTTCTGAAAATATAATGAGGTATATCTCTAAGTCCTAGGTCCTATGTATAAAAATAGTGTTAATAAACTCAAGATAGAGTATAGTTGTTGTCAATGACTTTTCCTTCCCTCCTGAGTTTGGGGGCGGTGGAAAGAAGGGACCCAGCCCAACAGCTAGCTCAGGAGCAGGTCCTGGAACCCAGGAGACCATTCTGGAACCTTAGGAGTACTTGATTGTGAGAACCCAGGGAGAGACAACCAGACAGACTCAGAGGAAAGATGTAGTATACCATCCTCCTAGAGCACAGGGCCAAAGGCAGCAACACAGGATCACCTGGCCATCCTGTCACTTTCCCGTCCACCCTCCACAGAAATCATGTCACTCTCCATGTCAAGTAGATAGTCTCTTGAGAATGATAATTAAGACCATTTATTATATTGTACTCTATCAGTACTCTACAAAATTGGAGTTAGTTGTCTGTTCCTTTATTGGTTAAATTGCTTTAGTTTTGAGTTATGGTGTCTGCTTTGAAAATAGGATGATTAAATAGTGAAATAACTTTGTTCACTATATATATATAGAATAGACTGAATATTAAAAGTAAAATGTACTAAAAATGTCAGATAAATAAGAAATACATTTTACTGTAAGTGTATAGCTGTTCTTACTATTTACAGAGACATCCAGGCTTGAACCTTCACAAGGAACAAGACTGATAAAATCCCAAGAAGCTTTAACTTTTTGTTCTCTAGGTAATCATGTCACCTTCTCTTATTTAGGTTGCCTTGGAAATGATCAAAGTAGCTGGTGGCTATCCCTTTGAAGCTTATAAAAACTGTTTCCTTAATTTAGCCATTCCAATAATAGTGTTTACAGAGACATCTGAAGTAAGAAAAACTGAAATCAGGTATGTATAAAAGTCTGTTTTTCTTCCATAATGAGAAAGAAAGTACATTCTACCCTTAGGAAGGAAGCATACTGGTTTTCATCTCTATTTCTTGTTAATCCTTTCTGCTATTTCAGGACCCAGTCAAACGTCATCTTGATGAATTATTTCCAAGTAGACTAGCTAGAGCATCCTCACAATAGTTGTTTTCTCACACCATTTACGATTATACTTTAGGGTTCCTAACTTGGATAATTTTGAAGGCATTCTTGTCTGACTATACACTGTGAAATTTAGAATCTAATTCTGCACATTTATAACAACAGAAATCAATTCCTGAGTGTCTGTTTTTGACATTTCAGGTTGGCCACAGCCAGAAATGTGAGTAGAAGTATCTTGTCAGGAAGAGCTAATCCTCTTACCACCCTCATACATTACTTATGAAAACACAAAATAAAGTAATCCATATAAATGAAATAAGGTGCTATTGCACACATGCCAAATTACATATATTCCAAGGTGATCATTCTAGCATACTTATGACAGCCAATGATTTGGACACTCCAAATGTTCAGATATTGATAACTAGAACTTCCTCATCATTAAACCCCTACAACTATTTAAAAATAGAGGGATGCGGGGTGAGGGGAGGGAGAGGGAGAAGGGATTAACATGTAAAACAAGCTTGTTCCTAATTTGAGCTAATAAAAATAAATAAATAAAAAATAAATAAAAATTAAAGGGATGCATTCGTGTCCATGCATACACATGCACATACATGGAGAGAGAAATACAACATAACAGACCTATATATATAATATGTAAGACATGAAAGTAAAAGAGAGACAGTGAGTGGAAGGAGAAGATCAGAAAGAGGACAAAGGAGAATGATGTAAAGAGCACTGATACACATGCATGAAAATGTGATAAACGCATTACTTTGTATGTGAACTTACAGTATTAAAGAAAAAATGAGGAGTACTTTGTATGTTATATTTGAAATTAAGACACTGAAAAAATACACAAAACATAAAAGTGGTTACCTATAATATTTATTGAATATTTTATAAGTTATATCCCCCCACCACCCAATAATTTCTAAGCATATTACAAATAATGAACTGCAGTAAATTTTTATTACTACATGGAAAGAGATTTTAATGCTTGTATTCTTAATATTAATATTTTTCTGTAACAGAGATGGAATATCATTTACAATTTGGGACAGGTGGACTGTACATGGAAATGAAGATTTTACCCTCTCAGATTTCATAAATGCTGTTAAAGTAGGATATTTTTATTTTCTTGATTTAATTAGTACCTTGAAATCTGCTTTCTGTGTAATGTCATGCCTCCTAATTTGTAGGAATTCCAGTAGGACCTTGTAATTATGTTAGTACTGAATTCATTACTTGGTTCATTTCTGTATGTACATACCTAATGTACTTTACAAATAAGACATCGTAAGAGAATAGCAAGGGTATTATATTAGAACCCATGCTATAATAACAGCATTTCTCTCAAGACTGTTTAGCTTATTTTACAGTAGATCTTAACCTGAGCCTCTGAGTTTTGTGTGGTTTTTGTTGTTGTGTTTTGTTTTGTTTTTCTTTCCTTATGATATTGAGAGCTCTCTACTTTGAAAGGAAGCACTTTATGGTTTCCCTTTGGCATGTCGGAATTATCAGCCTCACTATTGTTGCACCTTGTGCCTTCTATTAATCCAGTGGTTCTCCACTTTCCTAATGCTGTAACCCTTTAGTACAGTTCTTCATTTTATAGTGACCCCAACAATAAAATTATTTTCTTTGCTACTTCATAACTGTAATTTTCCTACTGTTATGAATTGTAATGTAAATGTCTGTGTTTCCTGATGGTCTTAGGCAACCCCTGTGAAAGGGTCATTTGATCCCCAAAGCTATCACAACCCACAGGTTGAGGACTGCTGTATTTTGAAAAGGTGTTTACTTGAACAATAGCTCTAGATAAGTAAGTCATTCTAATAACAAAGACAGATACTTAAACAGCTGAAAGGTAGACAGTGTGGATGTCCTAAAACCAGCAAATGAGTCACATTTGGGTAGCTTCAGACCTCACACTGCCTGAAACGGCATATAATGTAAAACTTAACACATTTACTTCTAAGTGCTGAGGCTGTGGCTTGTGGAAGAGCCCCAGGCCGACATCCCTAGTCAGTCTTCAATACTGGGGATGAACATAACTGTGCAGTTCTGAGACTTTCCATTTAATATTTTCAAGTGATGGTTAACTGAGAAAAATGAAACCATGGATAAAAGATCACCACTATAGTTTTTAGTCTTTAAATTTATGGAAGGATATAAATTGTATTTTATATAAGTCTGCCTTCTTTTAGGTGAATATAAAATATTTTTACCTGTGTACTTTGCATATGAATGAAGCTTTGATTGTTTCCTTTGGGGTGTTTACCTTTAGGAGAAATATGGAATTGAGCCGACAATGGTGGTACAGGGAGTCAAAATGCTTTACGTTCCTATAATGCCGGGTCATGCAAAAAGGTTAAAGTTAACGTAAGTATTTAACATTATGTGCAGAAGTGTCACAAAAATCAAAACATAAGTAAGATACACATTGGAAAGTTAAAAAAGTTAGTAGAATCTATACAAAAGGCATTACTCTTGCCTTACGCTGTAGTAAAGACTGAATCTATTAGGGGACAGCCAACAGTCCAACTCTCAAATGAGGCCCATAGAATTACACCTTTGTAAATTTATTATAGACAAGTCAAATCATTTTCAGTTAGTAGGCTTAGAAATTTGATCAGTATACTGTTAAGTAAAAGTAATGCATGTCTTACATGTAAACATAGAAAACTGCATTTATAAAATTGAGATATAAAACAAGAGTGCCAAATATTGTTTTTATTTATTTAGTGGATTTTTGCTAAAGATGCCTGCTATGTGTCCAGCCTTGTTTAAAGCATTGGGGATACAGTTGTGAACAAAAGCCTTTCTACTTGAGGAGTTTGAATAAAAACTACATACGGTCAGGTAGTGGTAGATGCTATAGAGAAAGTGAAGGATGAAAACGGGAAGACATGTAAGGAGCGGGAAGGTTGAGTTGTTATATTTAATAATTTAGATTTCCCCACTGCACGTTAGATTCTTACCTGCTGATACTGCATTTTAGAGGAAGAGAAGTACCAAAGAAAAACAAAATCTTTATAATTGCTTGCAAGGCGCTGGTTGACCTAGCTCCTCTGTATCCTTGTATGTCCTTCCCTATTTCCTTCCTTCCCTCTACACTGGTCTGTGTATTTCTGTAATACTACGGTCGTTCTCTTGTGATGGCTTTGCTCTAGTTATTTCCTCTGCTTGAAGATTAGAGAGTGGGCTAATGAATTCTCAGTTTTGGTCTTTGCACTTCCTAAAGAGACCTTTCTTGTAGTTGATTTTTGTTTTTTTATTCTTTGTTCTTTTTCTCTTGGGAGGAGTTGCCGCTCAGCTCCCAGATAAATACATGGAGGCTTATTCTTTCTTATGAATGTGCAGTCTTATCTTGGCTTATTTCTAGCCAGTTTTTCTTAAATTATTCTCTTTACCTTTTGTCTCTGGGCTTTTCCCTGTCTCTATTTCTGTATTTCTTTCTTTACTTCTTACTCCATGGCTTGCTGTGTAGCTGGGTGGCTGGCTCCTGGAGTTCTCTCTTCTCTTTTTGCTCCTCGTTCTTCTCCCACATTTCTCCTCCTATTTATTCTCTCTGCCTATTAGCTCCGCCGGTCCTTTCTCCTGTCTTGCTAACAGCCATTCAACTCTTTATTAGACCAATCAGATGTTTCAGTCAGGCAGTTAACACAGCTCCACAGAGTTAAACAAATGCAACACAACATAAAGAATACAGCACATCTTTGCATTATTAAGCAAATATTCTACAACATAACAAATGTAACACATCTTAAAATAATCTTGTACAAAAATTTCTGAGTTATATTTAATATTCCACAACATAAACAAATGTACCACATCTTAAAATAATCTTCTACAGTAATTTCTGAATTCTATTTGACACTGGAAACTCTCCAGCTTTAGGTTAGTATGCTTGCCCTGATTTGCTCTTCTTTTTTAAAAACATTTATTCTTTCAAAATCTGTAATGTATAATATACTTTGATCATATTCCCCCCATTATCCTCTTGTCTTCTTCTCCTCCCATTAAATCCATTCTTTTCCTAACATTCCCCCCTCCTATTTTGATATCCTTGTCCCTCAAATCCTTTTATTTTTAATTGTGTACACACATTCACACATGTGAACAACCAAAGTAGAATGTTTTCTCTTTCTCTCTTTTGACATGGGTTCTGGGAATTACCAGGGTTGCATAGAAAGCTTCTTTACCCACTGAGCTAACTCACTGCTCCCCCTCCCTTTTAATTTAAGTTACTTGCATTAGCCTATATAAGGGATTATTTGTTTTGTGCTCAGGAAACTTACCAGTGAGTAATGTGACTCCTTTTTCTCCAGTAACCATAGCTACTATAAGAGCCCTTCCTCGGCCGGGTCTTGGTGGCCCATGCCTTTAATCCCAGCACTTGGGAGGCAGAGGCAGACTGATCTCTGTGAGTTCAAGGCAAGCCTGGTCTCCAGAGTCAGTGCCAGGATAGGCTCCAAAGCTACACAGAGAAACCCTGTCTCCAAAAACAATAAATAAATAAATAAATAAATAAATAAATAAATAAGAGCCCTTCCTCATTAACTGTGGAACATTGATTGGCCGGTTTTGTACAGCCACTGTTGCTGTGTCCAGACGATATCACTACACAGCATTCTTTCCCATCCTCTTGTATTCTTTCCATTCCCTCTTCTGCAGTGTTCCCTGAGCTTTGAAAGACTGCTGACTGCTCAGTCATCACTTATTCCCAACACATGGACTTTCTTCATTAACTTTTGCACACTGCTGACAGAATCTTCTCTGACCAAAACTGAAACAGATATTTAGGAGGTGGTTTAATACTTTGTCCAGTTAGCAAAGCAACAGTACTATGTACTGTTTCACATAGAAGTAGATGCATCCAGGGCCTACAACTTCCCTAGCCTTGAACTAAGCATGAATTTCTTCCTGTGTAGTAGGGCCTGAAATCAGTAACAATACACTTGGCTATCCCACTAACAGTCATGCCACTGTTGTGCTATTGGGCATTGGGCACATACTGCCTGGCAGGTTGGTATTATGGTTCAGTTTTCAGAGCTGAACCCCTAGAAGTCTGCATAGCACCTACCCACACTGTACAACGTATCCAGTAGAGTGGATCCTTCCAGCTCACTTCTAGCTTCATTTCTCTTATATCTTTCAGCCAAAGAAGGTAGTATCTTCAGAAGTAGGATCATATGTAGCTCATGTGGACATCCAAAAGAAATGGCATTGTTTCAGAGGCCTGTGAGGCCTCCCTGAGCAACAATTCATAAGAAAATTTAAACAAATGCTAGGATTTTTGTTTAATAAACTGTGACATGGGCTAAGGAGATGGATGGCTCAAGGGATAAAACAGATTGCCACACAATCCTGGCAACCTGAGTTGGATCCTCAGAACCCACATAAATGGGAAAGAATGACCTCCACAGTTATCCTCTGACCTTCACACACATATGCCCTGGCAGAAACTTCTACACACATGTACAGCACATATATACATGGGTATACAAATTAAGAAATTCTTGAATAACTTAATGGTTTCTGGAAACAACATTGTCCACTTACATATTTCCATTTAAACTCTTATGTGTTTTTAATTAGCTTAAAAAAATAATGTTTCATATGGTTATTTCATGAATCCTGAGTTTCAGTTAACCATTCCTTTATAACATCCCCACTTATAACTTTACACTCCTAACATTTTCTCCTTTTCTATCACATGTTTTGTCTTCTCCCTCTTAAGGCCTTTCCCTCCCACCCTCCATCCCTTAACACCTTCTTGTTTCGTGGCCTCTACAGGCAGCATATGATAAATACAAATCTAAGAATTTGAAGGTAGGATCTGAATATGAAAGAATATCTAAATATCTGAATATGTAACATTTGTCTTTCTGGGTCTGGGTCACCCAGAAAATACACCCTTACTTAGTGTATTTTCGAGTTCCACCCATTCTTCTGTAAATTTCATAACTCCCCCCCCCTTTTTTTTTTACAGCACATATATAAATGGATACACAAACTAAGAATTTTTTAAATGTACGGCTTCTGGAAACAGCATTATCCACTTATGCATTTCCCTTTAAACTTTTACTATATTATGAATGTACATTTTCATAATCCATCAGTTGATAAACATTTAGACTGACTCCATTTTGCAGCTATTGTGAGTAGAGTGAGCATGCTCTGTATGCTCACTGTATGTCTCTGTAGTAGGATGTGAAGTCCTTTGTGTACATGCTGTGCAATGGTCTGTAGTAGGAGGTGAAGTCCTTTGTGTACATACTGTGCAAGTGTCTATAGTAGGATGCAGAGTCCTTTGTGTGTATGATATACAAGGGTTTATAGTAGGAGGTGAAATCCTTTGTGTATGTCTAGGAGCAGTAGAGCTAACCTGTGTGGTAGTCCTATTTGTGACATTTTGAGAAACCTCCACACTGATTTCCATAGTGGTTCACTTGCTTATACTCCGGCCAACAACAGTGAGTATGTGTACCCATTTCCCTATAATCTCACCAACATTTGTCATTGTTTATATTCTTTTTTTTTATTAGTTCAAATTAGGAACAAGCTTGCTTCACATGTCAATCCCTTCTCCCTCTCTATCCCTTTCCCCCACCTCCCCACCACCACCACCACCACCACTCTACTCCCCAGGCAGGGAAGGGCCCTTGACGGGGGCTCCCCAAAGTCCACCACATCATCCTGGGCCGGGCCTAGGCCCTCCCCCGTGTGTCCAGGCCAAGAGAGCATCCCTTCCCTTGGGATGGGCTCTCAAAATCCCTTCTTACACCAGGGAAAAATACTGATCCACTACCAGGGGTTGCGTAGAGTGCGGAGGCCTCCTCATTGACATCCATGTTCAGGGGTCTGGATCAGTCCTGTGCTGGCCTCTCAGACAGTAGTCTGGGGTCCATGTGCTCCCCCTTGTTCAGCCCGGCTGTTTCTGTGGGGTTCACCAGCTTGGTACCCACCCCATTGATCTTCATTCCTCCCTCTTTGCAACTGGGTTCCAGAGTTTAGTTCAGTGTATATCTGTGGATGTCTGCCTCTGCTTCCATCAACCACTGGATGAGGGCTCTAGGATGGCATATAAAGTAGTCATCATTATAGGGGAAGGGCATTTAGGGTATCCTCTCCACCATTGCCTAGATTTTCAGTTCGTGTGATCCTTGTAGATCTCTGGAATCCCCCTAGTGCCAGATCTCTCCTTGGAACTAGGAGGTCTCCTCTATCCTTCTCCCAACTCAACATTTCTGCTCCTCCATTTCCTCTTCTCCCCTCCTCTTCTCCCCTCATTCTGCCATCTCCCTCTCCCTTACCCTCATGCTCCCAATTAGCTCAGGAGATCCTGCCCCTTCCCATTCTCTGGGAGTCCATGCATT